GGAAGAGACGGAGGGGGGGCCAGGGCAGGAGGGGGGAGAAAGGCTTGTCGGCGCCCCGTGCGGATGGGCCTCACACCTCGAAGCTCCCTCCACCCTGCTTCGGCAGTGGGAGAACCGACAACGACCCAACAAGAGGACGCAAAGCTCGCACCGCGTCACGGAAGGTGGAGACGAAGGGAAATGATTTGAGGGGGGCCGCAGAGAGAGGCAAAGACGAAGCAGGTGGCCGAATGCTGCGCGTCCGTGGTGTTGGCACGTCTGGAGAAGCCACCTTGCCCAAACCATAAATAACTCACCATTCCGATGTGAAGTCATGACACTGCCCCCACTATCATCCCACTCTGTCTCATACTGTGCAAATATGTCCAAAGCGCGACGCAGCATCACACTGCTACGTGAAATCGTCCCCCTTCTGAATCTCATTGAGTGTGCATCATTTCCAGAGCGCGACGCAGCATCTGGAGCAACGACAGCACGACCGACAAGCCCGGCCCCAGGGACGAACCGTTTTCCTGACGAACACCGAGTGCCTCGCACGCTGTGCACAATCGTGCCAGTCGATTGTCGTCCGAAAAGCGACGGGAAGCTAGAATTACGTCGGGCGTGCCCCCCTACGAAAAATAGAAATACCCTAAAAATACCCCGAAGGGGTCCAAAAAATGCCCAAAATACTCCCCAGGCTATTGTTTGACTATTTGTTGACAATTTGGGGGGGATTTGTTTTCCGTCGAAAATCCCTCTGTAAGGGGACAGGCCCGACTTAAAGCTAGAAACCCAAACCAGTCACGGGCCGAGGCAGGCGGAGGGGGTCCCGATCACGCCGACGCCCATCCTCACCGACCGACGGGTCGATGATACCTTAATTACCTGGCCACTCCGACGCTTTGTCGGGAGGGCTCGGGCGGATGAGTTAGGGGGCCACACGCGAACCCTACCCCTACCCCCACGAGTTCTGAGGGGAAGGGCGGGGTTCACTTCCCGAGCGAAGTGAACCCCACCCTTCCCCCCTCAGAAATCGTGGGGGGTAGGGCCAGGTAGGGGTAAGGTTCGCATGTGGCCCCCTTATGAGTGGGAAAGGCGGGAGCATGAGGTCACGCAGACCCGTGGATACCCCTCGGCCGCTTCTGCGCCCCACGGCCGAAAACGGGAGCTCCGGGCCCGCGGAGGGAGAGGGAGATGGAAGACTCGGGCTCGGGGGACTCGGGCTACCCTCACGGGGCCATGGTGAAAATGACGAGACCCAATCTGGAAATTGACGCGAGCTCCCGCTGCAGACATCCCACGGAAGCCGAGCCGTCTAAATCTGGGACGCGTTCGTCAAAAAAAACTTCGGCAAACCCGAATTCTGGCGCACTCAAACTTGACGCCTCCCCGAGAGGAAGAGGGACGGATGGGGGAGCAGGAAATGAGGAGGCTACGTGTTCAACGTCCGTTTTTCGTTCCAGCGCATGCTCCCCCACTTCCCTGATCAGAAGAACTCGACGTGGTATCGCTGCTGGACGGGCTGGTGGGGAGACGCGAACCGTCAAGAACTTAGCCCCCCAGACATTGAATCCAAAATTCAGCGAATGGGCCACGACCTCCTCCCAGGAACACGAATCTCGAGGAGGGGACAGCAAGGATCGAGGACGCTTGTGTAGGGTTTGCGGGGCTGGGGGGAGGTAATGGAAGAGCCAGGGGGGCCGTTTCCTGGAGGAGGCGGTGAACCCCCCGATGGTGACCCCCCTCGGCAACGCCTGAGACGAGAAGAGGGTCGCGCGCAGGGCGCGGGAGGAGCCAGCCAGGGCTTCGGCGGGTGGCGTCGCGACGCCCCTGTCCTGGCTTCTGACTCCCCAGGCGGGGCGCTCATACCTGAACACTCGGCTTTCCGACCGCTGCGGCGGCGACCGCGTGGCCAGGGCGTCCCACTGCAGGGGTCGTTCGGCCGTCCGCGCCAGGGCGCCCAACTCCGCAAAAGAAAATGCCCTCGACGTCGGCCGATTCCAGCCAGCTGGGGGCGCTCCGCCCCGCAGTCCTGAGGCCGGACTCGCCGCCGCGCCGACGCGGCGCGACGCGGACCTGCCGCACACCGCTGCCCGAAGTGCGCAAGCCGCGCCGCGCAGTGGTGCGGGGTGGTGCGGGGAGGGGAGGAGCCAGCTGGTCCTGTCAGACAGCCTGGTCCCTCCTCCTCCTCCTCCTCCTCCTCCTCCTCCTCCTCCTCCTCCTCCTCCTCCTTCTCCTCCTCCTCCTCCGCCTCCTCCGCCTCCTCCGCCTTCCCTCGCCTCTCCCGCCTCTCCTCCTCCTCCTCCTTTCTATCCTCCTCCTCCTCCTCCTCCTCCTCCTCCTCCTCCTCCTCCTCCTCCTCCTGCTCCTCCTCCTCCTCCCCCTCCTCCTCCTCCGCGGCGGGCGCCGGGACCAGCGCGGGAGGAGCCACCGCCGAGCAGGGGGCGAGGTTCCGCGGCGGCCGCGGCGCGGCGCCCAGGCGGAACGATCACGAGGGGGAGGCCAAGGCTGGGGACTCGGAACTGGGGCACCCACACCGACAGAGGGGTTTTGGTGTTTTGGCGCGGATGCGTCGGCCACCTCAGAGGCCCGAGCATTGCCACCATCACGGAGATCAGGACCATCCTCCCCCGGTGGAGGGCAGCCGCCGATTTGGGCGTTGGTGCCAACCTCGAGGCCTCTAAGGGCGAGCGAGCGACGACGACGTGAAGGTCGACCACCTCCTGCATAACTACACAAACGAGGGCAACAAGCAGGCCGGGCGGGTCCCGCGTGGAGGGGGCCAAGACGGGTGGGCGGCCGCCTTCCCCTGCACTGCCCACCGCCCGCGTGTGCTGCGCCAGCGGGCCCGCTGCAGCCGCTCCGCTGGCAGGCCACGCCGGCCCCACCGCTGGAGGCCGAACCGCACTCGAGGGGCGGGGCAGGTCTGCCACGGAGGCTGCCTGGACCCGTTCCCACAAGTGGGGGGGGGCGTCCAAGAGGGGGGCGCCCGAGGGGGGGGCTCGCAGATCGTGGCCCGAGGCGCGTGCGCGGACGAGGGGGGACCAGGCGACGCGTGGAGACAAGAGGAGGGGGCCATGACATCCGGGGAGATCTCGTGGAATCGGCAATGATGTCCTGCCACCCTGGCCATGGACCCCCACTCGGGCGCCCCCGACACACTCCCGCTCCTGGCTCTTCTGCCACGGGTGCTCACGCTCGCAGCCCTCCTGAGCGCGCCTGCGCCCCCCCCTCCCGCACGGAGGAGCCCAAAAAAAGCTCTCCACCAGAGATTGTCTCGCTACCGCGACTGCATGCAGCGAGCTGGACCGGTCGGGCTCGATGGGTGCCCGAGTCCGAACCCAGCCTGCCCCGAGGCGGACTCGCGCATCGCACAATCTGCCCCTGAAGGTGGCGGGGAAGATGGATGACGAGCGAACAACTCACACCCATACCCAAAGGAGGGTCGAAAGGAGGGGAACTGGCTACGGGTATGGGTGCGAGTTGTCGGACCCTGGGGGAAGCTTCCGTTCGCGCGGGGACACCCATCCGACAACACGCACCCATAGCGTCCTCCGTCCCCCCTATGGGTATGGGTGCGTGTTGTTCGATCGTCAATGGACGGTAAAATGAATGCATCGGAGAGTGAAGTGGAAGAGAAGCAACACGCCTCAGAGGACAAGGGGCGAGAGCAGTGCAGGTGCACGACGCCATCCCCCTGCCCGCCCGCTCTCTTCCTCCCACTCCAACGAAGATCGAATTGCGATGGGAAACGGCCCATGGTTGGGCACAACCCCATCGGAGGCCCGCGCGGGTCACCTGGGCAGGCAGGGCACGAGGCCGCCGAGACTCACCCGGGGATCCGTGCCACCTCCGCGAGCGGACGCACATCCTCAGTCGTGCCCCCTCCTGGTGCCAGGCGCTGGAGCTCGGCACTCGTGCTCCCCGGCCCTGCCCCGGCTCCCTCCATCGCCGGCCCTCTCCTGGCTCCCCCGCCCGCGGCGCCCTCCTGCGCCATCCAGGGAGGCCTCCCGGACGTGGCCCGAGCAGGTGGGGGCGGAGGGTCCCGCCGCCTCGCCGCCGCAGCGGCGATGCGGCGGCGCAGCCCGTGTGAAGAGCGTCGGGCTCTACATCGAGACGCATGGCCAGTGCGCCGGCGATGCGGCGCGATCCTCCGACCCCGTCTGCTCGGACCCCATCTGGGAGGCCTGGACCATCCCTCCCTCCCTGCGCACCGCTCGAGGGGCTGCCCGGAGTCTCGGTGCTCCCGGACGCGGGGCTGCTGCGCGCCGCGGGCGCGGGGGGAGGGGGCGGGAGCAGTCGGCCTCGGATCGGGAAGCTGGACCACATCGGAGCGAGCGTGGGATCGGGCTGCATCGACGCGGAGCCAAGATCGGATCGCATCGGCTGCGCCGGGATGCAGGGCAGCGCCGTGCAAGCATCGGGCACATCGGGATAACAACACCGCATCGGCTCGAGCTGGCCAGAATCGGCACATCGAATCGGATCTGTCTGACCGGAGCTTTCCACATGGATTTTCAATGTTTTTGAAATTCTCGCCATTTCGAGCTTCCGACACTCCGAGACGGCCCAAGTGGCCCCCAAGACCGCCCCAAGACAACCCAAGAGGCCAAGAGGCCCCCAAAAGGACTCCAAGACGGCCCAAGAGGGCCCGGAAACGGCCAAAGAGGCGCCAAAGACGCCCCATGAGGGCCCCAAGACGACCCCAAGAGGGGGAACACGAACCGACGATTCGAGCCTTCCGCCCCAAGAGGCCCCCAGGAAGCCCAAAGAGGCCCCCAAGAGGCCAAAGGGGCTCCCAAAAGGCTCCCAAGAGGCCCCAAGAGGCTCCCAAGAGGTCCACAAGAGGCCCCGAAACGGCCCCAGAGGCTTCACAACGAGATCCCAACAAACTTCCAAAACGCCTCGGATCCACAACCCACGCACGACGGCGTGATGGGCCGAAGGCCACCAGATCCGTCGCCCCCTGTTGATTTATTACAAGGGTGCCTGGCGTGCTAGATCTTACGGCGTGGAGTTGTTCTTTTCCAAAAAGAACTCCCCTGGGGCTTCGGTCCATGCCGCCGGCCACCCAGAAGGCCCCGCTGCTGCGCAACCAACGTCTCCAAGACGGCCTCCATGGACTCCAAGACGGCCAAGATGGCCCAAGATGGCCTCGAAGTTCGCCCAAGACGGTCCAAGATGATCTGCAAGACGGCCCAAGGTGGTCCCAGATGCCTCCAAGTCCGCCCAAGAAGCCACCCAGACGGCCCAAGATGGCCCAGGAGGCCCCCAAGAGGCCTCCAAAACGGCCCAAGAGGCCTCCAAGAGGCCCCCAAGATCGCTCCAAGATGGTCCAAGATAGCATCCAGGATGACCCAATGACGCCCCAAGAAGACTTCAAGACGGCCCCAGGAGGGCCTCAAGACGGCCCAAGTCCGAGACTGCCCTGAAGCGCCCCAAGAGGGCCCCAAGTCGGCTCAGAGAGGCATCCAAGACGGCTTCCCACAGCGTCAGATGGACCAGGAAAGCCTTGAGACGGCCCAAGAGGCCCCCAAGAAGCCCCCAAATGCCCCCAAGAGGCCCGAGGAGGCGTCCAAAAGGCCTTCCCCGAAGGGTTTCCACAACGGCGGGGGGAACACATGGTCCGATAGCTTGGCAGAGCTCTGGCCACGATGTTCGGCCACATGGGCGATTCCAAAGGGCAGGGGGCGGCGGAGATTAGCTGTAGGCGCCTTCAATAAGAGAAGGTAGAAATGACGGAAAGGAACAATGTAGTATGAAATACTCACGCCACGACCCACCCAACCGCCCACTAACGAGCGAACCCGTCCGGGAACCAGCCCGCGAATAAGCTCGAAACACGGACACGAGGCAAACATTCTGTTCAACACATACTGCGTCGGGCGACTGCCAACACCCTCCTGTGACTCCTCCTCCTCCTCCTCCTCCTCCTCCTCCTCCTCCTCCTCCTCCTCCTCCTCCTCCTCCGCCTCCTCCGCCTCCTCCGCCTCCTCCTCCTCCTCCTCCTCTCCTCCTCCTCCTCCTCCTCCTCCTCCTCCTCCTCCATTCGAAGTACTCCTCCCTGTCGCACCCCGAGGCCCGTCGGAAGGGCGGGCCAGGCGTTCGGACCGAGACTTCCTCACCACGTGTGAGCCTCGAGCTGGAAACTCGTAGCAGCTTCGCGCATGGAGGGCGGGTGGTTTTCAAAATGTGGCTATCGCCATAGCGCCGCGCACAGCCGTTTTTGGAAGAATGCAAGAGCTTCACGGATTGGGGGCGGGTGGTTTTCAAGATGTGGCTATCGCCGTAGCACCGCGCACGGCCGTCTGGAAAAAGGCAAGAGAGCTTCACGGACTTGAGGGCGGGTCGTTTGCATAAGGTGGCTCTCGCCGCAGCGCCGCGCAGATTCGCTCAAAACGTGCAAGAGCGTCACGGATTGAGGGCGGGTGGTTTTCAAAATGTGGCTATCGCCGTAGCTCCGCGTACATTCGTATGAACAAAATGCAAGGGCTTCACGGATTGAGGGCGGGTCGGTTTCAAAATGTAGCTCTCGCCTAAGCGCGGCGCACACTTTTTTGATCTGCAGGGCGAGAGCTAACCTCTTCCGCTGAAAGCTTACTCTAAAAAGAAAAAACAAAAAAGCGCCGCGCACACTCGTCTTAAACATGTGCAATAGTTTCACGGATACAGGGTGGGCCGTTTTCAAACTATACCTATCGCCTCAGCGCCGCGCACATTCGTCCAGAAACCCTACACGGGTTCAACTGATTCTCACGATTAGCGTACCAGGAAGGGTGTTTTGGAACGACTCAAGATTGTAAGGACGCAACATTTGCGTTGATTCGAGGCGTTGAAGTCCCAGGAACGGTGCACTAGCACTATTCAGGATAGTCAATACTCAATGGTCATGTTGACTCGTGGCGTTCTGGCACGCTTCAGGAGCTCACACGGCTGTCCCCCAATGGGGTACTGCCCTCAGCGGAAAGGAATCGTTGCAGGGGACTATGAAGAGGGAGCTTGGAGGGAGGGTGTATTCCAACATCGTCGATAAGTCTTGGGTTTACACTGGTCCTCCTGCTCCTCCTCCTCGTCCTCCTTCCCCTCCTCCTCCTCCTCCGCCTCCTCCCTCTTCGTCCTCCCTATTGCCTCCTCGAGGTAAAGCTCACAAACTATTAAACATGACGAGTTCACACGGAGCGGCTTGGAGCGTCCCAGGTGGACGGCACAGGCTGGATGCCTCTGCAATACAACCGTTTCCAAGACAAGGAAAGTCTCCCGAACATGCCACCTAACCCATGAATACATTATCACCTACTGTCGCGAATGTTTGCTGATCTCTTGTCAGGGTCGACAGCAATGGCCGTGAATCCTCCGCAAGGCGATACAAGATCGAGCATTAAATGTGCATTATCGATCCTGCAGCATTGACGTCACAAAAGGTAGCATCGCATCGCATCGCGAAACGCAAGGTTGTACGCCGTGCATGTGTGAAATACACCATGGGTGTGCATGCCACACGATCGGAACACAGGCGTTCGTTTCGCGAGCGATGCCGCGTGGAACAAACACCCGTCGGCATCAGGCAAGCGCTCACAGGATCCTCGTGCCGAGACACAGTCGTGCACACAAGCCAAAGGTGATGCCTAATTCCAGACATGCGAGGCGCGCGCACCATACTCCTGCACGGTTCACACGGCAACGCCAGGCGCCTTGTCAGCAGCCCTCGGCCTGGAACACCAGACGGGGGCCTGGCAGGAGCGCGCTCGCGCTCCGATCCCGCCCCCCTGCTCCCGCGACTCCTGCCTCCCACGACTGGGGGGCCACAGCTTCGGCTGTTTCCTGGCGACCCACTGGTGAGAGGCACAGAAAGCCAGCGCACGGTCGCGGTGCCCGCCCGGCCGGGCCCCCTCGGCCACTGCGCGACGTGGCGCGGACGAGGCTTCTGCACATCCAGAACGGGAGTCCAGGGGGGCTTCCTTCCAGGCGCGTTTCCAGGAAGAGGGGAAAGAGCAGGGAAAGAAGAGCAGGAAGGGAAAAGGAGATGAGTGGGGGGGTGCATGGAATGTCCCCTCGAAGGATCATAGAAGCACATAAAATGAATCACATATCGCCTGCCCACAGACTCGACATTGCCGCGTCAGTGCTGGTCGTGCCCAACCTGATGCATCACTATTGTCGCGCCCCCCGCTGCCCATACACCCCAAAGTCTGTATACCGTCATTATACATGCGCGTGCATGGTATTGTACACGTGTGCGCTATATGACGTGCGTGAAGCTACGATATGCCCTGGTGGTCGCGAACCACTTGCTACAACTTCCGACAGTTTCAACTGCAAGTTGTCCCCGAACAGTGCTTGCATGTATGAATTCTTGTTCCCTACCTAGGCTCTGCCTAGAAGGGTTCTTACTCTCTGGGCTTAAAGGGGCCGGGCAGTGGAAAGCGCCCCGGGCGGTTCCCCCAGTGTCCGCCCCGCGGTTCCCCCAGCTACGTCCCCTTAGCTTAGCGTTGCTTATCTCATCTTAGCTTAGCTTGTTTCATACTAGCTTAGCTTCATCTTAGCTCAGGTGTTTCTTAGCTTAGCTTACCTTCATATTAGCTTCGCTGAGTTTTAGCATAGCAGAGCATAGCATAGCATAGCATAGCGCAGTTTAGAATAGCATAGCATAGCACAGCTTAGCATAGCACAGTGCAGCATGACATGGCATAGCTTAGCATAGCATAGCATAGCATATCATAACATATCATAGCGCAGCATAGCATATCCTAGCATAGCATAGCATAGCAAAGTGCAGCATAGCATGGCATAGCATAGCATCGCATAGCATAGCAACTAATGCTGCTTTCCTAGGGGCTCCAACTTCTAGGTAGGGTCGCACTGGGGTAATTTGGTTGTAAAAGAACTGGGCTGGTCTACCGCTCCGGCTGGCTTGTCGTCGCCCCGTCGCCGCCCCGTCGCCGCTCGTCACCGCCCATCGCCGCCCCGTCGTCGCTCGTCGCCAGCGCGGTGTCCAAACAGCATAACTAACACCACATAGATTGCACCACATGCGGCGGCGAGCGAGGCGGGGAAGTGAGAAGAGGAGGGCCTTCTCGGAAGGCTCGAAGTCCCCCAGTCTTCCGACAAAAAATCAGCCTTCCCCGAAGACACAGAAACTTCTGAGAAGCCGCTAGGGTTTCTGAAAAATCCCGCCGCGTTCTGAGAAGGCTTTCTACTTTTCACTCCCCCCCTCGCTCGCCGCCGACACATACCTTACACCACACTGATTGCATCACATAAATTGCGACCTCGGGCTTAAACCTCATATTTCGCACGGCAAAGTTCACACCATAAAGGTTGCACCACACACACACATATATATATATACACACACACCACATAGCTCACACCACGTGACTTCCACTGCCTAGCTGCACCCCCTGGATCGACTGCACCGCATGACTTACACCACGTAGATCGCACCACATGGACTGCACCACATAGATTTCACAGGTCGCACCCAATAGATCGGACCACATAGATTGCACCACATAGCTTACACCACATTGCTCGTACCACCTAGATGGGCACGTTAGCTCCCAGTAACTAGCACCACGTACGTTTCACCAAATAGCTCACACCGCAACATAGATTACACCACTTGAACAGCACGATATAGATTGCACCACAAGTATTGCACCACATGACGTACACCATGTAGATTGCACAACATAGCTCACACCACATAGATCGGACAACATTTGCTGAATCACCCAGTTTATACAACATAGCTCACGCCACATAGGTTGCCCCCCACATAGGTTGCACCACAGTTTGCACCACATACGTTGCATCACCTAGTTTGTAACCAAGCAGTGCTTCTGGTCTATGCTAGCTACCTTACGTTTGAATATTGCAGGAAAGCTTCCCTCAGGATGGATGCTTTCCCTCCAGAGGTCTGGACCCCTTCCCCGGGACCAGTTTCTCATCCCGCGTCGCCTTTTGACGGTCCCTGGGCCCAGCGAGGGCCCCCGGAGGCCGAGAACAACGAAAAAACTCCCGTCGTGATTGTTTCACCACGCGAGGGGGTCTGGGACCCGCCCGTCTCTGCGCGGCTCCCCGCCCCTGCGGGCTCCCCCCCGGGCTGCCCAGCGCCGCGCCCCCCCTGCGCGGCCGCTCCCCCGCCGCTGCCCCCGGCGACGAGCCCGTCTCCGGGGCTCCTTCGGGGGGCCGCGCGGCCGCCCCGCGCGGGGCAGACGGTGCCCCTCGTCAGCCCAGCGACCAATTTTTCGTTTCGTTTCGCGCTCATACGGCACACACCCGGTCCCGCGCCGGGGGCCCGCCGGGCCCCCGTCGCCCGGTCCCGGGCCCGCCGCCCCTCACAGCTGCTGGAACCAGCCGCTCCGAGGGAAGATATGGACGCCGCCAGGTGGTGAGCTCTCACACCCCGTCGTGCCCCCACATCTGCAGCCAGGGCACTCGGGGAGGCCCTGCCTTTAGGTCGGGCACGTCCTCCTACAGGCGGCTTTTTGGAGAACAATATAAAAATCGTCAGAGAAGAATCAAAAGTGATCACGGGAGCACGATAAACCATCACCGGACCGCTTGGTATCACGACCACTCCGGACTATACTGCTCCTGCAGAGGGACGTGCCCGACAGAACCCCACCCTGGCTCCCGCCGGGCACCCGCGCTCCATGGACCACCCCCCGGCGGTGCCTCCCTCGAGCCTGCGCGCGCCCCGCCCTCCGGCCGGCGCCCAGCCTGTCCGCCTGCGAGGGTCATGTCGGGCGTGTCCCCCTACAGGGGGACTTTCGACGAAGAACAAAAAGTACCCCCAAAAAGCCCAAAACTAGTCAAAATACTCCGAAAATAGTCCCCAGACTATCTTTGGACTATTTTTTGACTATTCTTGGGGGTATATTTTCTATGTTTCGTCGAAAATCCCCCTGTAGGGGGACAGGCCCGACTTAATGCGAGGGGCCCGCGGGCCCTCCCTGGCCGCCGCCCTTGCGGCGCGGGCTCGGGGCGCTCGCACGCGCCCCCTGCCCGCACCCCATCGCTGGGCCCTGCTAGTCTGCCGGGGTTCGCCGCGGCTTCCAGTTCCAGCGGCTGCCCAGGCGTCGCGCCGGGGCCTCCTCCTCCTCCTCCTCCTCCTCCTCCTCCTCCTCCTCCTCCTGGGCCTGGGCCTGTCTCTGCCAGTTCCCATTTCGCGCCTGGCGACCGCTCTCACGATAGGGGCCTTTCACGCGCGCCGCCACGGCTGCCCCTCACGCGCCTTGCCCCCGCCAGGCCTGCCACTGCCTCTGGTTCTGGCGACGAGTCCAGCGACACCCAAGCGAAGCGCTTCCTGGCTCACCAAGTCACACTCCACTGCCAGCGCAACGCCCCCTTCCGACCGCATCGCGAAGGTTGGATGGCACATGCGGGCGCTCTCCCGACCTTAAGGTGGACCAAACATCGCCGGCACTACAATCCCGTCGCCCTGCGGCTACCAGGCCGCGGAGCTCGAGGATTTCTTCGCCTCCCTCGACCCAGTCGCACTCGCTGGTGCCTCTCCTGCCAAGGACCCCCCTGCAGAGGACGCACCCTCCATCACAGACGGCCCGGCCGCGAGGAAGAGGCCTGCCTCCCCGACAGGTCAACCAACACAGCTCGCGGAGATCGCGGCCGCCCTGGCGAGCACGATGGCGTCGGAGCTCTGAGCGCCAGAGGTCGGCGTCCGTGCCCGCAGCGGCACAAACGGGTTACCGACGCACGCGCCGCGACGCTGTCCCCTTCGCGCCCACGTCCCCCTCCGCCCCCGCCACCCCCGTCGTCCCTGCGGGCCGCCTCGCTTCGGCGCCTCCGCCCTCCCCCCTCTCCTGCTGGGCGCACGGCTCCCTGCCCCCCCCCCCAGGCTGTCCCACGCTGGCCCCGCCGGGACTATCCTCCCTGGGAGCCTTCTGCGTTTCCTGTCCTTGCTGGACGGGCTCTCCCCCCCTGCGAGAAGTGCGAGAACGTCACGGTGACGGCGAACGGGCTGGATGAGCCACTGGGTGCTCCCGCTGTCCCGTGCTCTGGACTCCCCCTTCGCAGCGGCCAGCTCCGTCACGTGGGAGGCACCCGCGCGCGCTCCCGCTCGCCTCCCAGGCCTCGCGTGGCCGGCGCTGCCCCTGGTCTCCTCCCCTCCACGGCTCCCCGCGCTCTCCTCCCTGGGCAGTGGGTCCCCCTGCCCCTGCTGAGGCCGGGCCCGCTGCCGCGCCTCGCGCCGCCGCCGCTTCGCCCCCCTGGCAGCTCCGCCGCGCTGCCACAGCTGGCCGCCTCCGGCCCGACTCCCCGCTCCCCCTTCTCCTCCTCCTCCTCCTCCTCCTACTCCTCCTCCTCCTCCTCCTCCTCCTCCTCCTCCTCCTCCTCTCCTCGCTCCTATCCTCCTCCTCCTCCTCCTCTCTCTCCTCCTCTCCTCCTCCTCCTCCTCCTCCTCCCTCCTCTCCTCCTCCTCCTCCTCCTCCTCCTCCTCCTCCTCCTCCTCCTCCCCCTCCCAATCCTCGAGCGAGAACCGAGGATCGAGGACCTCTCTCTGGGCCAGCCTCTGGGCGCCAGCGCCCGCGGCGGCCCCCAGGCCCCCACCCTCTTGGGAGGCAAACCCTGACCGTCCTGCCAGGACTGCCATCTCGGCCGCTGCCGTGTGCGGTGTGTCGCCCGGTCTCGCTGGCCGTCGCGGCGTTTTCAGCCTGCGACCTCTCGCGGTACGTCTCCGCCTCTGCTTCCGGGTCGTCCTTGGCCTCATTGTCGCTCCGCTCTGCTTACTCGCTGCCCCCGCCTTCCAGTCCCGCTTGGCTTATGGCACCTTCGACCTAATCTATTCTCGTCCGTCTACTGCTACCCCCCGCCATCCATGCCCACCCAGATGGTGACAGCTGCTGACGGCTGCGAGACCCTGAGTGGTCTGTGAGTGCTCGGGCGGGCTGAGACGCGCGCGCGCGAGAGATTTACTGTTTTCCCACCTTCTACGCCCTGCCGCTGCGCGCAGATAAAAAATGTGTGTGTGATTGTGCGGTGTTGTGTTGTGTTGTGTTGTGTTGTGTTGTGTTGTGTTGTGGTGTGTTGTGGTGTGTTGTGGTGTGTTGTGGTGTGGTGTGGTGTGGTGTGGGGTCGGGTGGTGTGGTGTGGTGTGGTGTGATGTGTGGTGTGATGTGGTGTGCTGTGCTGTGTTGTGCTGTGTTGTGTTGTGCCATGCTGAGCTGTGCTGTGCTGTGTTATGTCGTGTTGTGATGTGGTATAGTGTTCTGTGTTGTGTTGTTGTCTTGTGTTGTGCTGTGATGTGCTGTGCCGTGTTGTATGTTGTGTTGTGTTGTGTTGGGTTGTGTTGTGTTGTGTTGTGCGTGTTTGTCTGTGTGTCTGTGTTGTGTGTTGTGTGTTGTGCGTTATGTGTTGTGTGTGTTGTGTGTTGTGTGTTGTGTGTTGTGTGTTATGTGTTGTGTGTTGTGCATTGTGTGCGTGATATGTGATGTGTGTGTTACGTGTTGTGTGTTGTGTGGGTTGGGGTGTGGGTGTGGGGGTGGGGGTGGATATGGGTGTGGGTGTGGGTGTGGGTGTGGGTGTGGGTGTGGGTGTCGGTGTGGGTGTGGGCATGGGTGTGGGCTTGAGTGCGGGTGGGTGTGTGTGTGTGTGCGCGTGGGTATGTGTGGGTGAGTGTGGGTGTGTATGTGTGTATGTCTTCATCTGGGTATGTGGATTGCTCTTCCGGCTAGCCCGCCCTCACTTCTGGTCTGACAACTGAAATATCGGCGCATGCAATATCCCACTGCGCTCCCAACCCGCAACTCAGATATCAAAAGAAAGAGCGGCCGTAAAGTCACGTACGCGGGCGCCTGCAGGGGACAAAGAAGCATACAACCACGCAGTCCCAACACGTCGTCGACTGTTGCATAACAGCGAAGCCCGATGATGAACGAGAATAGTGAACGGGTGCGACCCAGGATCGTGGTTTTATTGGTGCTGAAGCGTAATGATACAATACAATCGCAGAAAGGTGCTACACCACGAGGTGTCATACGATCTTAACACTGCATTACACTGCATAGTACTGCCTAGCACATTACGATGGCATCGCAGCATTGGAGGGCATTGAATAGCATACATACCCTGGGAGGTAGCATGGCCTAGCATGGCATAGCCTGACATGGCACAGCGTAGTGTTGCATAGCCTGGTATCTAATTGAATAGCACCGCACCGCATCGCGTGCCAAAGCATAGCATGGCATTGCAGAACGTTCGCCAAGAATGGCACGTCATCACAGCACCGCATCCAGCATAGCGCGGCAAATCATTGGCATAGCATAGCATCGCAGGGTATTGCATAGCGCTTGAGGTGCATGAGGAGCTGGTACCCGTGTCGGGAAGAAGCAGCCTGCCAGGGGTCGGCAGGCAGTGTTCCTCGTCACAAAACCAGGAAAGACCTCGCAGGCAAGCCTACATGCGGGGAGGAATGGGTTGGCATGACCCAGAAGCCCGGTGATGAGCGAGACAAGCATACCAGCTCCCTTCGCATCTGAACATGGAAACCAAGCGAGGCCGCAGGCTGTACCCGGGAACCTGTATGAGCATGAGTTCTCGCCTCCCTCGGAGCGCTGCGAAATCGGCACATGTGCTATGCAGCCTCTTCCCCGCCTCAGTCGATACTAGCTGGCTCTCTCTCTCTCTCTCTCTCTCTCTCACACACACATTATTCCTTTGTCTGTTCTTTTTCTCTCTCTCTCTCTCTCTCTCTTTCTCTCGCTCTCTCTCTCATTCTCTCTTTATCTATCCCTCTCTTTCTCTCTCACTCTCTCACTCCCTCCCTCCCTCCCTCCCTCGCTCCCTCTTCCAACAGTCAGACAGACGGCGACACGGCTCTTCTTGTGGACCCCATCTTTTCCATATGAGAGCGGGGCCCTCCTCCCTCCAGATTGCACCCTGGCCACGATAACCCGAGATGGCTCCAGATAACCTCCGACGCACATCCAAGAGGCCTCAAGACGGCCCCAAGACGATTTCGAGTGCCCTCCGGGCCCTCCGAGCCCCCCCCATGAGGCAAAAGTGGCTCCAAACCCTCGGGAAAATTGATGGTGCTTGCCTTCTCGCCTTTGCGCTTCCGATGGGTCTCGGATGCCTCAAGCTGGCCCCAAGATGGCCCAAGAGAGACCCAAGAGGGACCCGATAGGGCTCCAAGGCGGCCCCGAGAGCGCCCGAGAGCGCCCCAAGAGCGCCCCGAGACACAACTTTTGAGCCTCCGAGGGGGCGGGGGCTAAACTTTCGTCCCCCCCCTCTTTTGGAACAGTGAGCCCAAAACTGCCTCGAGAGGCCTGCAAGACCGCCCCAAAGAGCACCAAAAGAAAGCACTTCCAGGGCGGCTGTTACACTGCATGCTTCTACACTTCCCTGATCAGGGCAACTCGCCTGGCGATCTGTTTCTGGATGGGCTTGGGTCGGGCATGTCCCCTACAGGCGGAAGCTGGACGAAAAATTAAACATACCCAAAAAATAATCGACAAATCGTCCCCATGCTTTTTTTCAACTGTTTCTGAACCTTCCTCCTGTAGAGGGACAGGCCCGGCCGACTGAAGGATGGGCTGGTGGGAATGTTGTTGAACGCGAGCGTAGCGGAAGTGCCGAACGCCGTCCGAAAGAAGTAAACACAGGCTACGGCCTAAATTGCGCAAGCGGGAGAGAGAAGGAGAGAGACAACGAGAGGCCAGCGGGGGGGAGGCTGGTGGGCATGGGCGAGGCGTCAAGAACTTACTTGCTGCCCAGCGCTGCCCCACCGCGGCTGGCGCGCGCGCGGGGAGGGGCGGCGCCCCCGGCTGCTGCCGCGCCGGCAGGCCGAGGCTCTTGGAGGAGGCGGCGCCTGCCGCAGGGCGTCGCCTCCTCCTCCTCCTCCTCTCCTCCTCCTCCTCCCCCTCATCGCCCCCTCCTCCTCCTCGTCCTCTCCCTCCTCCTCTCCTCTCCCCCCTCCTCCTCCTCCTCCTCATCCTCCCCTCCTCCTCCTCCTCTCCTCACCTCATTACTCATCCTCATCCTCAGCCTCATCCTCATATCATCATCATCATAATCATCATCATCATCATCATCATCATCATCATCATCATCATCATCATAATGATCATCATCATCATCATCCTCATCATCATCATCAATCATCATCATCAGCATCATCATCATCATCTCATCATCATCATCATCATCATCATCATCATCATCATCATCATCATCCCTCCTTCTCAACCTCCTCCTCCTCCTCCTTCTCCTCCTCCTCATCCTCCTCCTCCTCCTCCGCCTCCTGCTCCTTCTCCTCCTCCTCCATCACTGTTCCTTATCAATAACTCCTCCCTGTCGCACCCCGAGACGTGTCAGTAGTGCGGGTGGTTTTCAGAATATGGCTCTCGCCTGAGCGCCGCGCAGACTCGTTTGACAAATTTGCACCAGCTTCACGGATGGAGGGCGGGCCGTTTTCAAAAAGTGGCTCTCGCCGTAGCGCCACGCACACTCGTCTGCAAATTGCATGAGCTTCACGGATGGAGGGCGGCTCCTTTACAAAATGTTGGCTCTCACCTTAGCGCCGCACACAGTCGTCCTAAATGGTTACAACAGGCTCAAGGATCCTCATGGTTGACGCCCCAGGTATCATGCTTTGGTCTGATTTAAGACTGCCAGCAGTGCGCGACAGTAATCTTGATTTTCGACGTTGAAAACCAGGAATGGCATTATGGCGCGATTCAGAACAGTTTCAAGGATCCTTCTGGTTGACGCCCCAGGAATGGTGTTCTGGTACGATTCAGGATTGCCAGGGCGCAACAAACACTTCGATTCGCGATGTATGAAGTCCTAGGAATCGTGTTTTGGCACGAGTCTGGACGCAACATTACATCGATTCGCGGCGTTGAAGTCCCAGGAATAGTAGTTTGGCATGGCTGAGGTGTTCCAAAAGTTTGTCCTCCAACAGAACTCTTCCCGCAGTGAAAATAAATAATTGCAGGGACATATGAACAGGAAAATTGGAGGGTGTATTGCAACATCGTTGATGCGTCTTGGGTTTACACTGGTCCTCCTCCTCCTCCTCCTCCTCCTCCTCATCCTCCTCCTCCTCCTCCTCCTCCTCCTCCTCCTCCTCCTCTTCCTCCGCCTCCGCCTCCTTCTCATCATCATCGAATCGCCTCCTCGATCTTCCTCCTCCTCCTCCTCCTCCTCCTCCTCCTCCTCCTCCTCCTCCTCCTCCTCCTCCTCCTCCTCCTCCTCCTCCTCCTCGTCCTCGAGGCCCACGCGTCCGTGACGAGCTGGGCGGAGGTCGCTGCCCGCCGCGGCAGGGCGCCGCGCTCGGCTGCGGACGCTCCAAAAGGGGACTGGGAAAGCGCCGCGGGCGGAGGGCGGGCTCTGGAGCGGCGCCGCCCCTGCCCGCGCGCCGAGGACCCGTGCTGGGCGTGCGCAGCGGGGCAGGGGCCGCGAGGTTGGCGGCTCGCCTGCACGCGAGGCCCACTCGTGCGCGCCGAGCTGGACAGAGGTCGGCCCCCGCAGCGGCGGCGGACCGCGCTCGGCTGCGGGCGCTCGCCGCCGGGGCACGGACGAGGCGGCGCGGGCTGTGGGCGGGCTTGGAAGCGTCGCCGCCACTGCCCGTGCGCGGGCGGATCGCCTCCAAGCGGGAGCGCTGCCTGCAGACCTCGAGGAGGAGTGGGGCGGTTTCCTGGCGGCCTCCGCCCAGTACGCTTTCGCGGGGATGACGGCGGCCATCGGCGAGGCGCGGTGCGAGGAGCTGCACGCGCTGGTCTGGGGCGGCTGCGTTTCCCCTCGACGCCGCAGCGGGCGCGGTTTCTGGCGGCTGAGGCGCTCTACGTGCCCGCTCGGGCCGGCGGTAGACCTCTCCCCCATCTCCTCCTTTCTGGAGTTGCGCACCTCCTCCTCCTCCTCCTCCTCCTCCTCCTCCTCATCCTCCTCCTCCTCCTCCTCCTCCTCCTCCTCCTCCTCCTCCTCCTCCAGCCTTGGACCCCAGACATGCGAGATCTGGAAAAGTAAGCTGGCCAGCGCCGCGGCCGACCTCCACCGCCTCTTCCTCCTCCTGGTCCTCGTTGGCGCCGGCCTCCGGCCACTGTGGCCTCTACGTTATTCCTCCTCCAACTCCTGCTGCTGCTGCTGTAGGCTTCGCGGCCTTGCCCCCTCCCTGAGCAAAAACGCTCGGTGGGCAGAGAGAGGGACATTCCGAAAATGGCCGCTGTCGGGCTTCCTCCTCCTCCTCCTCCTCCTCCTCCTCCTCCTCCACCTCCTCCTCCTGCTCCTCCTCCTCTACGCCTCCTCCCTCATCCTCCTCCTCCTCCTCCTCCTCCTCCACCTCCTCCTCATCCTCATTCCTCCTCCTCTCCTCCTCCTCCACCTCCCTCCTCCTCCTCCTCCTCCTCCTCCTCCTCCTCCAACACGCCTCCTCCTCCTCCTTCTCCTCCTCCTCCTCCTCCTCCTCCTCCTCCTCCTCCGCCACCTTCTCAACATCATCGATTCGCCTCCTCGATCTTCCTCCGCCTCCTCCTCATCCTCCTCCTCCTCCTCCGCCCAGCGCACGGGATGAGCAACGGAGGGGACCGACACCGAGGGTCGAGGGGTCGCGCGTCGAGGACCTGCGGATCGAGGAATCGAGGGGTCGAGGGGTCGAGGATCGAGGGGTCGCAGGGGAGCGGAAACTGAGCATGAGATGGTCACTTTAGCAATCACGATCACTCGGCCCTGCTCTATTTCCCGACTTCATCCTCATCCTCCTCCTCCTCATTTCATCCTCCTCTCACTCGGTCCCACTGTGAAATGCCACGGCGGTCGCGCCTGCAGAGGCATCCGCAGTGATGCGGGCGCTGGACACCACCGCCTGCGAAAAGAGGGTCCAGGGAGGGTACGGACAAGGACGAGGAGGAAGAAGGGGAGAAAGGATGAACGGGAAGAGGAAGAGGAGGAACTGAATCTGGACGTGAAGTCGCTCGCCCGCCTTACCCTGCAAAGCTGCTGCTGCGAGACTGCGGGAGCCGTGGGCCCGAGACTGCCGTACCATCTGAAGATCAAACAACCCCAACAACTGCAACACGCAATGTCTACGTGAAGTCGAGTTTCGAAGCACACGTCGGGCACTCCTTACCGACCCAGCAAAAATCGTCGCGCAGTCGCCGGGCATCTTGCACGTGTCCCATGCTGTGCGCTCCTCGCATTTGCCACAGCTTTCACCCATGCAATGTCATTGGCCCATATCGCATATCAATATTACGGTAAGAGGACAATCGGCAGTACGTTAGCTCCATGTGGGAAGCAGGTTCTAGCTTTGCGAACAAGCGAGGGAGAGAAGGAGGGAAAGGGCAGGTCAGAGAGGAATGAAGAAAACGCGGGGTGGGCAGGCGGCGTTGAAGCTGAAGCGGAACGCACAGAGAAAGTACAAACTGCTGGGACAATGCACACTGCATATTGCTGATGCTTCCATCTCACTCTTTCTTCTCTCTCTTTCTCTCTATCTATCTCTCTCTCTCTCTCTCTCTTCTCTCTGATTCTCTCTCTCTCATGTAAAATAGAATGTGATTTCACACATGGATGTATATGTCTGCATATATTTATATATATATATATATATATGTATGCACAGTCGTGTGCGAATATACACGTATGTGTACATGCAAATACGTGTAAATGTAGATGTGCATAGAGATGTGTATGTGGATGTACATGTGTACGCAATATATGTTCCTGTGTATATGTGTAAATATGTGTATATATATGTGTGTGAATGCACTTTTATATGTGTGCGTGTATATGTATATGTATGTGTACGTGTGTACGTTATGTATGTGTATGGGCATGTGTGTGCATAAGCATGTGTACATGTATACGTATGTGTATATGCAAATGTATATGTACATGTATATGTACATGCATATGTATATGTATATGTCTATGTATATGTATACGTTTATGTATATGTATATGTATATGTATATGTATATGTATATGTATATGTATATGTATATGTATATGTATATGTATATGTATATGTATGTGTATATGTATGTGTACATGTCGGGTGTGTGCATAAAAACGTTGATGCGTGTACATGAATATGAAGATGTAGGTGTATATGTATGTTTATATGCATAGCAGTGTATGAATATGAATGTGCATATGTGTATGATGATGTGTGCATGCGCATGTGTAAATGTATATCCTGGTGTTTTGCATATGTAAATTTGTATGTTTAGTATGGGTATGCGTCTGCAACTGTATATGTGAATGTAGATGTGTATGGTTGTGTGTAAATGGATGCGTGTATGGACGTTTACGGATGTATGCGTGTATATATATATATATATATATATGTGCATGAGTGCGTACGCAAATACATGTGTCTTTAAAAGTAAACGTATGGTCCCCCCCCTTGTGCTCATGCCGCTCTTTGCTTCTCTGCTTCTTCCTCGTGTTCCTCTCTCTTCTGTCTCCTCCCCCCCTCCTCTTCCTCCTATTCCTCCTCCTCCTGCTCCTCGTCTTCCTCCTCCTCCTCCTCTTCCGCCTGCTCCTCTTCCTCCCTGTGGCAATACAGAACCAATACCAGACAGCGTTTGGCGCCGTCAGTGCAAGGAAACACGTTGTGTTTGGCGTTTGTTGGTTATGTTGGTCTGTGGAGCCACGACACACTGTATGCTTGATTGTTTGGGTTTGTTCGGTTCTGCAGGTCCCAATGCTCGCCGCGGCCTCCTTCGCAGCACTTCAAAAACAAGAAAAACAAAAATACACAGTAGTTGGCGCCCTTGGTGCAAGGAACCTCTGTGTATAGTTGCTTGGTCGTTGGTTTCTGTGGTTTGTGAAACCACGAAACACTGTGTATTGTTGGCTTGTTTGGCTCTACTGGTATTGAAAACACCACTGCTCGCCGCGGCCTCTCTCGCAGCACTTCTCTTTCAGCCTGCAAAAAGGAAAAACAAAATGTCTCCTTGCATCCCAGACCAAAGAACACACAACAACAACAACAACAACAACAAAGTGCTTGGCGCCCGTGGTGCAAGGAAACACTATGTACGTTGAGTTTGTTTGGTTTTTTTTTTTCGGTTTGTGAAACCACGAAGCAATATGTATGTGTGGTGTTTGTGCGTTGTTCGGTTTTGCAGGCTCCAGTGCTCGCCGCGGCCTCCATCGCAGCACTTCTGCTTGAGCTTGCCAAAAAATGCTTATTTGCATTACAAACCAAAACACCAACAAAAAAACAAAAATACACAGCGATTTCTTGAACCGAGGGTGGGCACACCTGGCCATACAGGCATCCTGCGTTCAGATTTTGCATGAAGGCTTCATGTGTAAAGTCTCCTTAGTAAGGATTATTATTTAGCAAGGATTCCGTAATACACATTCCTTAGTAGGGGCTCCTTCTTAGTTGAGAGTCCTGAGTAAGGGTTCCTTAGCAATGACAGGTTCCTGCGGTTGGACTCTTCATTCTGATTCTTTCAATAGAGATCATGTGTTAAGGATTCCTTACTCCCCATTCCTCAATAAGTAGTCATTGTGAGGAAATCCTCCTTTAGGGCTCCTCAACGAAGATGCCTTCTCAAGCGCATGAAGGATTCCGGAGCAAAGATTCCTTATTAAGGGGTTATGGTTAAGGATTCCTGGATCAAGATTCCTTATGAGAGATTCCTTATAGAATATCCCGCATCAAGAATTCCATATTAAGGAGTCCATATTAAGGATTCCTTGGCTCACGCTACTTCTTCGGGATTCCTCAGTAAGGACTCCCCACGGCGGGTTCCGTATTAAGGATTCCTTGTGTAAGGTTACCACAATAAAGATTCCTTAATAAAGATTGGTAAGTACTCCTGGGTAATAATTCCGTAATTGGGATTCCTTATGAAGGATACCTCGACGACTCTTTACGACAGTTTCCTTACATAGGATCCCTTGCTGAGAATTCCTTATTCAAGATTTCTATTGAAAGGGTCGTTAGCTTTGGATTCGTTATGAAAGGTTCCTTATTTAAGATTCTGCATTACTAATTTCTCAGTTAACGGCCCTTTATTAAGGATTCCTCGGCAAAGATTCCTTACTGAGGACTTCTTCGCACATACTCCTTAATAAGGATTCATTGCCAAGGATTCCTTGCTAATGGTGGGTTCCACATGAAGGCTTCCTTCTGAAAATATTCCTTATTAAAGGCCCCCTATTCAGGATCCCTTATTACGGATTCCTTACTGACGACTCCTTATTGGGGGTCCCTCATCCTCCTCACCGTCACCATCGTCATCACCATCATCATCATCATCGCCAGCACCATCGTCATCATCGTCGGGATCGCACTCGTCTTATCTAGCTCCTCTTCTTCCTCACTCATATTATATAGTTGTTCCTTCTCCTCCTCCCCCTCCTCCCCCTCGTCATCCCCCTCCTGAGGATGGAGAGGGACTGAGACCAAGCGCTAGAGAACACATCGAAGACAGGGCAAATGGTATGATCACGGAGGGGGCGAGCATGTGTACGTATGAGTACGTATGTGTATTAGATATATGCATGTATATGCATGTATATGTATGTGAATATGCA